CCCTATTGCCTGGGGGGGGGGCCCATGAGTTGTCAGTCCACCCCTGAGTGGGACCCAGGTACACCCATCTACTGTCCAGAGTCTGGTCAGAAGTGGTCTTCATGGAAGACTCGCGGACAAAAATACCATACCTCCGACATGGAAACAAAGTTTAAGCAACTCAACTATGCATGGCAACATAGGAACTGGGGTGCAGAAAAATGGCAACAGGTTCTCTGGACTGATGGATCAAAATTTGAAACATATGGCTTTAGCAGGAGGCAGTTTCGCCAAAGGGATGGAGAGCGAAACAATAATGAGTGTCTCCAGGCAACAGTGAAGCATGGTGGAGGTTTCTTGCAAGTTTGGGGCTGCATGTCTGCAAATGGAGTTGGAGATTTGGTCAGGATCAACAGTATCTTCAGTGCTGAGAAATACAGGCAGATACTTATTCATCATACCTTACCATCAGGGAAGCTTGTGAATGGCCCCATTCACATGCAGCATTCTGTGACAGGACAACCCCAAACATACAGCCAATGTCATTAACTAGTTGCCGACCGCAGATAGCCGAATGACGGCTTCACTGCGGCCGGCCAGTTCTGGGTGGACTTCATATGACGTCCCCCCAGAACGCGCTCTCCTGCACGCCCCAGGGGGCGCGCACACCGGCGATCTCCGTGATCGCTGTGTCCTACGGACACAGCTGATCACGTGATGTGGTAAAAGGCCGATCCCAGCGGCCTTTTACCACGTGATCAGCGGTGTCCAATGACACGCTGATCACAGGGAAATGCAAGTGCCGGTTCTCGGCTGCACTTTCCTCACGCTGTCAGATCGTGAGGAAAGTACTGCCGAGAACCGGCAGTTGTCACAGCGGGGATCGACACCGATCATCAGGACACTGATGATCAGTGCCCTGATGATCGGTGCCCAGCAGTGCCACCCGCAAGTTCCGCCCACCTGTGCCCAGCAGTGCACCCACTAGCTCCGCCCACCTGTGCCCAGCAGATCACCCACCTGTGCCCAGCAGTGCACCCCCGCTTGTGCCACTCTGCAGTGTCACACACCTGTGCCCAGAAGTGCCACCTACCTGTGCCCAGAAGTGCCACCCACCTGTGCCCACCCACCTGTGCCCACCAGTGCCACCCACCTGTGCCCACCCACCAGTGCTGCCCACCAGTGCCACCCACCAGTGCCACCCACCAGTGCAGCCCAGCAGTGCTGCCAGTCAGTGCCACCAGTCAGTGCCCAGGGGTTGTGCCAGTCAGTGCCGCCAGTCAGTGCCCAGCAGTGATGCCAGTCAGTGCCGTCTATCAGTACCCATCATCAGTGTCACCTATCAGTGCCGCCTATCAGTGCTGCATATTAGTGCTGCCTATCCGTGACACCTCATTAGTGCTGTCTATCAGTGCCGCCTATCCGTGCCACCTCATTAGTACTGCCTATCAGTGCCCTTTAGTGCTGCCTATCAGTGCCCATCAGTGCCGCCTATCAGTGCCCATCAGTGCTGCCTCATCAATGCACATCAGTGAAGGAGAAAAAATACCTGTTTGAAAAATTGTATAATAGAAACAAAGAAAAAAAATTTTTTTCCCAAATTTTTTGCACTTTTTTTATTTATAGCGCAAAAAGTAAAGTGCCCAGTGGCGATTAAATACCACCAAAAGAAAGCTCTATTTGTGAGAAAAAAATGATCAAAATTTCATATGGGTACAATGTTGCATGACCGCGCAATTGTCAATCAAAGTGCGGCAGCGCTGAAAGCTGAAAATTGGCCTGGTAAGGAAGGGGGTATAAGTGCCTGGTAGGCAAGTGGTTAAGAACTATCTTCAGTGTAAAGAAAAACAAGGAGTTGTTCTTAAAGTGATGGTTTGGCTCCCCCCAGAGCCCTGATCTCAAACATCTCGAGTTTGTCTGGGATTACATGAAGAGACAGGATTTGAGGCAACCTACATCCACAGGAGGTCTGTGGTTAGTTCTTCAACATGTTTGGAACAAACTACCAGCCAAGCTACTTCAAAACCTGAAAAACTGTTCAGGTGTACCTAGAAGAATTGATACTGAGGCAAAGGGTGATCACAGCAAATATTGATTTGATTTGGATTTCTCTTCTGTTCATTTTCTTTATTTGCCAGAAATGCACTTAGTGCCTAATTTTACTATTGTGGGCTGACAACACACAGCATTTGTGTGGACTGAGTGGTATAAACCCTGCCCAGTAAATTAGCCCATCCTACTATCTTCATTCCCAAAGCATAGGAAGTAACTGGATTGTAGTAACAAGGAGAAAACTAGGAGGGTAAACAGATTTATTTATTATAGGTACTTATATAGCGCTGTCAATTTACACAGCGCTTTACATATATATTGTACATTCACATCAGTCCCTAACCCTCAAGGGGTGTACAATCTAAGGTCTCTAACTTAGATTAACATACACATATTAGGGCCAATTTAGACAGGATCCAATTAACCTACCAGCATGTCTTTGGAGTGTGGGAGGAAACCGGAGCACCCAGAGGAAACCCACACAGGCACAACATGCAAACTCCATGCAGGAGGCACCATGGTTGGAAATTGAACCCATGACCCATTGACTGCAAGGCAGAAGTGCTAACCACTAAGCCACTGTGCTGCCCACAGATGAAACTGTTAATGCAAATGTGCGCAACTAAAATTGTTAGTGCCATCCTTGCTCTTATTCTTTGACTTAGTGGCTATTGCACATGGACTGGGGAATGTGTGCTAAGGGATTAAAGAGGAACTTCACCCTTCCCATAAAAATTACAACAAAGGCACCTTTAGAATTGTTTAACCCCTTCATGACAGAGAACAAAACAAAGTCTAACGCCTAAACACAGTTTTGCAACTTAGTAAACTGTATACATCATCACAAATGGATTACCATTGTTTAGGGAATGGGTGGCTAGAACAGGTAGTACAGCATTTTTTTACCACTGTCAGCTGTATTACAGTATACAGAACTGTGTTCCAGCAGTGAGAAAGGGAGTATCATCCTGTTCCCAAAACAAAAAGGAGTCAGGCTGGGGGCTGCTTAGCCATTCATATGAAGCCTTGTATTTGTGCATGAATACAAGGCTTCCTGTTACTGGCTAAGGAGGAGATAGTGACATCATCCATGCACCTCTCCAAACCAATATTCTCATACTGCGCTTTTGCCTGATGAAGTCATGCGCTTCATCTTGGGCATGTGAAAAAGGGCAAGAAACTTTTTTTCCCCCCGGGCCTACTTGCTACCGCAAGCCCTGACCCTCTGGAGGGGTGTAGGCCGGTGACGCACTACAATATGGCATCGCAGACGGACCTGCCAGAGGATGCTGCTTCCTCTCCACTGGGAATCCCCGAGGTGATGGCAGCCATCACTGCATGCCAATCGGCCCTCACCTCTAAAATTGAGGCGGTGCAGTTAGATGTAAGTGTGCTCCACCAAGACCTCGATTAAATACGCTCCAGATTAACCACCACGGAGCTTCGGATAGGCCACGTGGAAAACACTACTGCTGAACACACCGTGGCAACCCGTACCCTGCAATCCAAGGTGAGAGTCCTAGAGCACCACGTGGAGGATGCCGAGAACCGCTGTAGAAGGAACAACCTCTGTATCCTCCGTGCATGTTGTAGGTCAGTCCATAAACCATTAATCAAGATGGCAGACAACCGTATTAGTGAGTGTATGGAACAGCGTGTGGTGATGAAGTTTCTTGTGAATAAAGGCGTGAAACCTACAAATATCTATAGAAGACTTCAAGCACAGTACGGTGATGAGCCACAGTAAGACTTTTTCAACGGTGTAAATGTTTCAAAGATGGCCGTACGTCCGTCCGTGACGATCCTGGCCGTGGTGGTTCCCAGCCCACAGCAGTCATTCCTGGGAATATTCAGCTCATGGAATGCCTGATCCTGGATAATTAACCACTTGCCTACCGGGCACTTATACCCCCTTATTTACCAGGCCAATTTTCAGCTTTCAGCGCTGTCGCACTTTGATTGACAATTGCGCGGTCATGCAAGATTGTACCCATATGAAATTTTTTATCATTTTTTTTCTCACAAATAGAGCTTTCTTTTGGTGGTATTTAATCGCTGCTGGGCACTTTACTTTTTGTGCTATAAGCAAAAGTTTATTTTCTGGCTGTGGCCATCTTGAGTAAAAGCAGATGATTCATGTAGTGTTTACTTCATTGATTCCATCTGCCCTTCACTCATGTATGCACACAGGAGGGTGTACTTAGCTGAGAAAAACACACTCCCCCCCCCCCAAAGACTCCCTGGATGCATGACATCATTTGCCTAGGCTAGAAGCCAGGAAATAACTGAGGAGATGTAAAAAAAAAAAAAGTTTAAAACAAGTAAATATATACTTTGCTATCTATTTACTAATGCTAGCAGCATAAGGAATACAAATAGTCAACACTTTAATTTCTTTACTAAGTGGGATGTCGATGGTGGATCTCTTGATATTTACTAGGGATCCATTTGAGTTTCTCCCATCAGCTCCCTTAACCACTTGCCTACCAGGCACTTATACCCCCTTATTTACCAGGCCAATTTTCAGCTTTCAGCGCTGCCGCACTTTGACAATTGCGCGGTCATGCAAGATTGTACCCATATGAAATTTTGATCATTTTTTTCTCACAAATAGAGCTTTCTTTTGGTGTATTTAATCGCCACTGGGCGCTTTACTTTTTGCGCTATAAATAAAAAAAGTGCAAAAAATTTGAAAAAAAAAAAAAGTTTCTTTGTTTCTATTATAAAATTTTTCAAACAGGTAATTTTTCTCCTTCACTGATGTGCGTTGATGAGGCAGCACTGATAGGCGGCACTGATGGGGCACTGATAGGCAGCACTGATAGGGCACTGATAGGCGGCACTGATAGGCAGCACTGAGGTAGCACGGATAGGCAGCACTAATGAGGTGTCACGGATAGGTGGCACTGATATCCGGCACTGATTGGTGGCACTGATAGGTGACACTGATAATGGGTACTGATAGACAGCACTGATAGGTGGCACTGACTGACATCACTGCTGGGCACTGACTGGCAGCATTGCTGGGCACTGACTGGCAGCACTGCTGGGCTGCGCTGATGGGCACTGGTGGGCACAGGTGGGTGGCACTACTGGGCACAGGTAGGTGGCACTTCTGGGCACAGGTGGTGACACTGCTGGGTGGCACAGGTGGGTGCATTGCTGGGCACAGGTGGGGCGGAACTTGTGTGTGGCACTGCTGGGCACCGATCATCAGGGCACTGATGATCAGTGACCCTGATGATCGGTGCTGATCCCCGCTCTGACAACTGCCGGTTTTCGGCAGTACTTTCCTCACGATCTGACAGCATGAGGAAAGTGCAGCCGAGAACCGGCATTTGCATTTCCCGGTGATCAGCGTGTCATTGGACACGGCTGATCACGTGGTAAAAGGCTGCTGTGATTGGCCTTTTACCACGTCATGTGATCAGCTGTGTCCGTAGGACACAGCGATCACAGAGATCACCGGGTGCGCGCCCCCGGAGGCACGCAGGAGAGCGCGTTCTGGGTGGACGTCATATGACGTCCACCCAGAACTGGCCGGCCGCAGTGCAGCCGTCATTCAGCTATCTGCGGTCGGCAAGTAGTTAAGGCATAACCTGACCCCTAAAAGAGTTCCTCAGAAGTCAACATTTCAACACTGACGATGAAGTAAAGCTAGCTGTCCTAGGATGGTTCTGGCGTACTGACAAATCTTTCTATGCCGAAACCTTTCAGGCATTAGTCAAACACTGGGATAAGTATCTAAATGTAGCAGGGGAGTAAAATAAATGCAGTTTCCACTCCTTGAAATTTGTTCTTTTATTATATAAACTCCTGGTTTGACTTGAAAGCCCTATGTATATATAGCCTTTAATATCACTTTAACCACTTCCCGACCGGCCGTTGTATATAAACGGCCGGACGGTGGCACTACAGGGTCGGGTGGCCGTCTATAAACGGCCTCCCCGCACCCTGCTTGTGCGCGCTCCCTGGGAGCGCGCAGCACCGCGATCCGGTGCCCGCTGTGTCCTCCGGACACAGTGAAACACCGATCGTCGGACGGGACCTCTGTACGAGGTCCCGATCATGTGATCACTGATTGGCCAATCAGTGATCACATGCAAAGTAGTAAGCAAGATGTCACTTCTGACATCATTGCTTACTATGTGTGAAATCTGTGAATGATCACAGAGGTCACATGGTACAAGGCTATTCACAAAAGCCTTGTACCATGTGACAAGCTTTGACCAATCACAGCTCACTCAGTTCTTCTCAATGAGTGCAAGAATGCACACAGAGAGGAAGAGAAATGATTGCTTTTACACCCTATATGGGTGTAAAAGCAATGTGTAAAAAAAAAAAAAAAAAAATCTTCATCACCCCCCACAAGTAGTACAGTGTCACCATGGTGACACTGTACTGCTAGGGTGACAGTATGTAAAAAAAAAAAAAAAAAAAAAAATAATAATAATATAAAAAAATAAAATAAAAATGTAAAAAAAAAAATGTTTAAAAATTATAATTTTTGCTTATAAACTAATTTGGATTTTTTTTTTTTTACTAAAAAGATAACGGAATAAATTTTGGCTAAGATTTATGATGAAATATTATTTATTTGCAAAATTTTATAAAAAAAACACCTTTTTTCAAAATGTTTGGACATTTCATTTACAGAGCAAAAATGGTAAAAAATTAATTTGGGTACAGTGTTGCATGACCGCGCAATTGTCATTCAAAGTGTGATAGCGCTAAAAGCTGAAAATTGCCCTGGTCAGGAAGGGGGTAAAAGTGTCCGGTCTGGAAGTGGTTAAAGACCACTTGAGGTTTTTATGAGGCAGCTTTACCAGAGCTGCAGGTATGAGCAGTATGTGGAGGCCATTTGTGGAGCAAAGACTGTGTGGCTCAGAGTGGGGCCAGTGAAGATCTCTGAATCGGCACTAAGGCTAAGTTCACACTAGCTTTGTAAGCAGGCGTTTTGCAGACGTTTGAGGGCCATTTTTAACACTCCTCAAACGCCTATGAAAATTATACACATGGCAGCACACAGTGCTGTTCACACTGAATCATTAGCATCGCGGCACAATTGATGCCTCATGTGGAGTCAGGAGGAGTTGAAGCCTTTCAACGCCTCCCATTCAAGTCTATTGTGACACTCCTCAAATGCCTGGCAGGTGTTTGCGGGGCATTTACAAGACCTTTGCGGGGCGTTAATACCATTAACTTCATTATAGCCATTTGTGCGGTTTTAACGCTTGGAAAACGCCTATGAAACACCTCAAAAACACGTATAGGGCGTTTGAGGAGTGTTAAATCGCTCCCCAAATGCCTGTTTAACGCCTGTCAAATGCTATAGGGACGTTTGGGAAGAAGTCAAGTGTGAACAAGTCCCAAAGCTTAGAATAATTAAAAAAAAATTAAAGTAGAACTATAGGCAAAACTTTTTTTTTTCATTTTGGATAGAGTAAGGGAGGGTTATAACTCCTGTCACTTTATTTTTTACCATCTGTGTCCCATTGGGGAGATTTCCCTTCACTTCGTGTCCCACAGCCAAAACAGAAAGTGAGAAAATCTCTGCAAATTAAGGTGATTTCTTAGGGCCCCCCAGGTCACCAGAACTAGTGTCCTCATTGGAAGATTTCCCCTCTATGGCTCCATGTACACGAGACACTTCTGTATGATGGAAACTGACTGCTGGAAAATGTAGGTTAAAAAACGTCTGTTTAGCCGCGTTTGCATACCGCGTTTATGCACGTTTATGAGCGTTTGCGTTTAGAAGCGTTTTTTTAAAGATAACCTCAGGAGACCTTCCAAAATGCCCAGAATGTCAGAACTATTTCAGACATTTTGAGAGAAAGAGAGAGAGAGCAGAATCAGAGAGAGCAGTATTTGTTGAGATTAGCTCTCTTATTTATTTCAGGTACTTATATAGCGTCAATTTACGCAGAACTTTACATATATATTGTACATTCACATCAGTCCCTAACCCTCAAGGGGTGTACAATCTAAGGTCCCTAACTTACATTCATACATACACATACTAGGGACAATTTAGACAGGAGCCAATTTGCCTACCAGCATGTGTTTTGGAGTGTGGGAGGAAACCGGAGTACCCCAGAGGGTCTTTTTGTTTGGGTGTTTGGATGTGTTCCAGCTCATTTCTGTGCAGAAATTATTGCAGCAGTGTCTAACATATTTTCTTTCATGTGAAACCTCAAAGTATGGTGTACCGGGTCCATTTGAGTACCGGGAAAAAGCTTTGCATGCATTTTTTATGATGAAAAAAGGCATCTGGAAATGGAAGAGTTAAAAAAAAATTCCAACGCAAATGCTGTGACAGCCGGGTGCCCCCTGCACATGCGAAAGAAGTGCTGCGCTTTGTGAATAGTACGGCATCTTCTGGGACACATGACAGGTTCCAGAAAACGCCGGACCAATAACAAAGCTGTCAGCCGGGTGCCCACACTAAAGGGACGACAACTCCGCGGAAGTGGGAGCGGGTACCTGGCAAATTCAGATACTCGCTCCCCCTCCATCCCCAAAGGTCCGCATTCTCTTAGTCATCCCCTGTACTGTATCTCCTGCACTGTGTCCACAGTCTCTGGTCATCCCCTGCACTGTCCGCAGTCTCTCTGTCATTCCCTGCACTGTCCGCAGTCTCTGGTCATCCCCTGCATTGTCTGCAGTCTGATAGCCGGGTGCCCAGTGCGCATGCGCGAGAAGCGCTGCACTTTGTGAATAGTACGGTATCTTCTGGGACACATGACAGGTCCCAGAAGACGCTGGACCAATAACAAAGCGCAGCGCTTCTTGCGCATCATCTCCTGTACTATGTCCGCAGTCTCTGGTAATCTCCTGTACTATGTCCGCAGTCTCTGGTCATCCCCTGCACTGTGTCTGCAGTCTCTGGTCATCTCCTGCACTGTGTCCGCAGTCTTGGTCATCTCTGTACTGTGTCCGCAGTCTTTGGTCATCCTCTGTACTGTGTCCGCAGTCTCTGGTCATCTCCTGTACTGTGTCCGCAGTCTCTGGTCATTCCCCTGCACTGTCCGCAGTCTCTGGCATCCCCTGCACTGTCCGCAGTCTCTGGTCATCCCCTGCACTGTCCGCAGTCTCTGGTCATCTCCTGCACTGTGTCCGCAGTCTCTGGTCATCTCCTGCACTGTGTCCGCAGTCTCTGGTCATCTCCTGCACTGTACTGTCCGCAGTCTCTGGTCATCTCCTGTACTGTGTCCGCAGTCTCTGGTCATCCCCTGCACTGTCCGCAGTTTCTGGTCATTTCCTGCACCGTGTCCGCAGTCTCTGGTCATCTCCTGCACTGTCCGCAGTCTCTTGGTCATCCCCTGTACTGTCCGCAGTCTCTGGTCATCCCCTGCACTGTCCGCAGTCTCTGGTCATCCCCTGTACTATGTCTGCAGTCTTTGGTCGTCCTCTGCACTGTCCGCAGTCTTTGGTCGTCCTCTGCACTGTCCGCAGTCTCTGGTCATCTCATGCACTGTCGGCAGTCTCTGGTCATCCCCTGCACTCTCCGCAGTCTCTGGTCATCCCCTGCACTGTCCGCAGTCTCTGGTCATCTCCTGCACTGTGTCCGCAGTCTCTGGTCATCTCCTGCACTGTGTCCGCAGTCTCTGGTCATCTCCTGCACTATGTCCGCAGTGTCCGCAGTCTCTGGTCATCTCCCTGCACTGTGTCCGCAGTCTCTGGTCATCTCCTGCACTGTGTCCGCAGTCTCTGGTCATCTCCTGCACTGTGTCCTCTGGTCATCTCCTGCACTGTGTCCGCAGGCTCTGGTCATCTCCTGCACTGTGTCCGCAGTCTCTGGTCATCTCCTGCACTGTGTCCGCAGTCTCTGCTCATCTCCCCTGCAGTATGTCCGCAGTCTCTGGTCATCTCCTGTACTGTGTCCGCAGTCTCTGGTCCGCATCTCCTGCACTGTGTCCGCAGTCTCTGGCAGTCATCTCCATCTCCTGTACTGTGTCCGCAGTCTCTGGTCATCTCCTGTACTGTGTCCGCAGTCTCTGGTCATCTCCTGTACTGTGTCCGCAGTCTCTGGTCATCTCCTGTACTGTGTCCGCAGTCTCTGGTCATTCCTGTACTGTGTCCGCAGTGGTCATTTCCTGTACTATGTCCGCAGTCTATTGGTTCAGAATATTTTTTTCTTGTTTTCCGCCTCTAAAACCGAGGTGCGTCTTATGGAGCGAAAATACGGTACTCTCTGCTCCGCACTCCAGTGGCCATATTGTCAGTGCATGTGGAGGATGGAAAGAGCATGCAGTAGAAGACCGAGGACGTCTTGGCTAGGAAGCTCAGGGGTGGAGGTGGTTCGATGGTTATTGCCTGTGCACAATCAGTACATTTACATGGG